ATGCTAACAGAACAGAATCCAAATGAGGTTGCACTACTAAGATTAACAAGGGAGTTAATAAGAAAAGCAGAAATAGAACAGCCAGAAAAAAAGCTAAATATAGTAGAACAAAGAAATCATGCAATAATAATAGAACCAGCCTTAGAACAAACAGTCGACACACTGAAAGAGCAACTTCAATCAATAAAACTAGAATCAATTCATAAGACTAGACAAGAGCTCATATTAGGAATAGATATGGAAGAAGGCAGGCAGCATGAAGGAAAAATACAACAAACTAACTTAGTAGCTCAACAAGAAGAAATCACAAAGAAAATGAGTTCAAATGCAAATTGGAAAGAATCAAAACTTAGCATAGCAACAGAAAAGGCAGAAGCACAACATGAAACAAAACAAGAATTTGAAAAAGAAATTGACATAGTAGGAGAACCACTAAAGGAGAGCATGTGGGCACCAAACAAAAGAGATTGCAACCAAAATAACAGTCTACTTGCCAACATACCAGCACATAACGTGCTAGGAACAACGAAAGAAGAATGCACAAAATTCATCAAATGGTCACTAAAAAACAATGAACATGTTAAAGCCATTAAAGAAGTCTTCAAAAGAGGTAACTTGTGGATAGAAGTGGAGTTTAATTGTGAACATGGCAGAAATGAAGCAATCCAAAGAATCAGCAAGAAAAAAAGCAATTGGTATAAACTAATACCAGAAAAACAGAAAAACACAAAAGGAGAACAAAGACTATACAAGGAAGAATACTCCAAAAGAAGAAATAGCACAATGAAAAAGGAGGAAGAGATATATGACAAAGAAGAAATTGAGACAGAAGATGACACAAACGATTACAAGTTGGATGAGAAATCTAGTGACAAAGTATATATAACAATATGGGACTTACCAACAAACATTAATAGAAGAGAGCTAGAATATATCTGCAGGAGATTCAAAAATGCCCAAATAATAAGAATCAAGAGATCAAAATACAAGGCACTCGCAATTGTGCAGATAGAAGAAAGCAAAAGAGAAGACATCCCATGGGCCATACCAGTTAACAATGATAAACTAGTACAAATAACTAGAGGAGAAGAAAACTATGAAGCAAAAGAAAAACAGAGAAAATATATAGCAAAGTTAACTGAACTACCCAGAAATGCCTCAGAAGTCTTACTACTATGGTGTTTAAGAAACAAAGGTGTTAAGTCAGTTCACATTCCTCCAAATAGAAATGGAAACCAGAAAAGAACAGCAATAGTAATGTTTGCAACAGAAAAAGACATGAATGCAGCCCAAACAAAACCCATTTTGTATAATAACTTTAAAGTTTACTGGATTAATGAAGAGAAAGCAGAGATGAGAAAAAGAGAAAATCATAAAGTAGAAAGAAGAAGAAGTTAAGACAGATTTAGCCAAACCTCAGATGCAGAAAAGGATAAAAACAACAAAGAGAGACAAAGAAATAAGACTTATGTGAACAAAAATAGGTATAAAAGAGATATAGGCCATGAAAGTACCTCACTAAAAGAAAGAAATAAATTCCAAAACCAGTATAAAAGAAATCAAGAAAAAGACACAAATACAAAAAATAGAAAAAAAAAGAATCATGAAAGAGAAACAGAAGAAGCCAAGACACAAAAACAAGAAAATGAGTCACACATAAAGAACTTCCTAGAGCAAATCTGGGAGCGACTAGAAAGACTAAAGAAAACAAAGGATATAGCTAGGGACAGCCTAGCAAATCGCTCTTAAGGGTGCCATAGTTGAACCCACAAACATGGATAAGGAGATTAGAAAATTTTTGTATAGCAAAAGAAGAGCTTTCGAAGAAAGAAGTAGAGACAAGTCTCCTAATCCAAGAGAAAAAATAAAAAGGAAGGGAAAAGAAAAGGCAGGAAACACAGAGACAAGATACAAGAGTTTAAAAAAAGCATAGAAAAAAAGAAAGAAATAAATAAAAATAGCTTGTCACAATGTTAACAGACTTAAGACTAGAAGTTGGAAATTAGAAAACCTGCTAGGTTGGGCA